TTAAGCAGATGAATGATAAACTGAAATATACCTGCTTCTAGATGCCAAATGAAAATTTCAGATTTTCCTCCAACGGAAATAAGGCATGAATTCATTGCATAAACACAGTATACTGAAGAAGAATGAGCTTGCAATCGCTGCAATACTTCAACAGATCCTGAAACCTTGTTTTAATCATTTTCCAAAATTTGAAAACCTGTAACTATTAGAAAACCATATCTGGTTTAAAAGCTTAAGAAAGCACTTTTCCAAGAAACAAGTATTTTTTATCATAAATAATACCGTTACAACACCTCATACCATCAACAGCTGCAAATGAAAAAAAGAAACGAATTCCAACCTGAGCTGATAAATCTGGATAAAACAAGCATAGCATCGATACCACCGGTAACATATAATTCTGTTTGATTGATTTTTATAACTGCGATAGATGTAATGCCGGAAATATGCAAATTAGGCTGTAAAAGATACATACTAGGATCTTTTTTTTATATACATATAATTCCAGGGAATAGCTGAAAACCAACTCCTAAAGTTTTTCACTATTTGCGTATGGGAAAAGTATCGGTGCAAAAGAAACAAAAAGCAAAAAACATTTTCTTGGAAAGTCCGCTTGGAATTATCTTGATCACTAGTTCATATTTGATTGTGACTTCAAATTCCTCCAGCAAGGTTTTGATATTCAAATCAAAAGAAAAGGTGAAAGTAGTTTACTACTATGCCTTCTGGAATTATAACTTTATCCTGAAGGAAATTCATCCCTAACCAGGATTCCCCCATTCCTTGGAGAAAAGCTATACGAATGATAATGGGAAATGATACCCCTAAGAGTCTAACACTGAGAGCCTAATATAAAAAAAGTAGTAAGTTTCAGCATTGTGTACCTCTACTAATAATTAATAACGTCCTAACAAATGACTGATTTGAAGCTTTGAAAGACAACTTACCTTAATAACATATAAATCATTCATATAAAGTATGATTTTTGAGATCCTTTTTTTTACAACAAACTCAAAGCATAGTGATTTCGATCCTTTACAATTTTCATTTTCTTCCAACACTGACAAACACCACGAGCGACGCCTTCCTCCACACCACACATCACAAACGCAGTGTCCGTTATTGTAATCTACCAGAATAAAGTTACCCTACAAAGTGAATGCACTTCTTTTTCTTTATATTATTTTAATGAATGTAATCCTGCCTGCAAGAATCAGTGAATGGAAAATTACGATTTCATAAAAAGCAATTTCGCATTCATCAAGTATATTTCAAAAAAACTATGTAAACCCCTCGAAATCCTGCCACATATAACTGGTTTGCCGTTTCCAAAAACCTGCATGGCCATTCCATTTCGACTGCAGTGGAAGGTTTAGACCAAGACAATAATTGCAGTGCATTCCCTTAAAACGACATTTGACTGGAAGCTTGAATTTTATTCCTTTGATGATGGTGGAGGGACATAATTCTAATTAATGTTGAACAACTTGAACCACAACCTCTTTTCCAAATGCATAATTTTCCATCACGTCCAATAGATAATAATTTAGTCTTATAAAATTTCATATCTGTAATACCACTCTTACCATGGGCTCGTTTTATTACCTGCTTCACCTAAAATAATGAACAGTATAATTTTATACAATTAAAAAAAAAAAAGACGTCGTGGATAGATTCAAATTTATGCTTAACTCATAAGCGTATGCTGAAATAACGAATCATAAAACTGCAGTTCTATATAGTTGCAGTAACTATAAGTTCCATAAAAGACAGTTACAGTAATGATAAGCAAGTAACCAAGTAATTCTTTAATCTTACTACCAAAAAGAAAAATACTGCTTCATTAAAATAGATGTAAGCACAGAATCTACCATCACGCATTTGGATATTCAATGTAAAGCTAAAAATGATAAAAGACAAATTATTACGTCCTGATATGCATTACCTTGAGATTATGCACAACGATAATTGAACCTTTGCTTGTGCCAAGAAAAAGCTCTTCGGCGTGAACCGCAATACAGGAAATTATTTCTTGCAAATCTGTTTGCAAAGTACAGTTCATCCACTCTGACATATCCTTTGACAAGCGAACTAGTACCTGCAACTTTGTTGAAAATGCTTTTCGTACAACTTCCAACATCCAGCATAAGCTATTTGATCGACAAGCATAAATTACTTTTTAGAATAAACTATTGCAACCTCATATCTCTACTGAGGAGCGAGTAACTTCTGCAGCAACAGCAATTCTGAATGTTTTTATTTGAATTTTTTTTATAAAAATATTTTACGAAAAACTAACCATCCTTGCGGAGAGCTACGGCTTTAAAATTTGAGAAACAAAGAGATATTAAATGGAGCATAAAACCATAAGCTTCTAGTGAAAATCAACTCACATTTTTAAAGTTCAGTAATGTAAGAAATAGCCAACTGTCAACCCAAAATAAATCCAATATTTGATCAACAGCATAAAAAAAAGCGCATTTGCGGTCTTCAACTAGAAAAATAAAAAAATAAATTTAAAGCAAAAACATATTCGATTTTACTCAGAAAGCTGTACTTCTCTTTACATGCTATTTCTATTTGAACATGTAGAACTAAGTAATTAAATAATAGTATAAAACATGTGGATAACACGTACCAGTTAATCCTGAAAGTTACCCACCTCTAATTACATGCAATTTTTTGTCTTCTGAAAATGCGACGTATTTTCGGCATGATGATAATTTTAGCGAGTTGGATCTAGCAGAATTGCACTGCAGTATTTTATTTAAGGAAATTGCATTTGCTTCATACAATATTCTGGAATCACAAAATGGTACGTTGCTATATAAATACGTATCCAGCGACATTATGGATTACCAAAGAAATGTCACCAACAAATCAGCTTATTTTAAAACAGAAAAACTACAGGTTCATTGCTGGAGGTCTTCCAAAGAAGGAAAATTGGAAAAGATTTAATAAACTGTAAATAAAAGAGAGGATTCGCACATATTTGAGCTCACTTAATAGCAAAGTCATATAATCACCACGTTACAAAAGTTTCAATCACCATAAATTGAATCTAAGCATTGTTTAGTTACTGTGTGAAAATAAAAATTATTTAAAACCGCTACGGTACAAAACATAGCTTGTTAATTTTCATTTTTTATATAAATTAATTTTCATTTTTTATATAAATTCGAGACTAATTATAATGTGAATTTAAGACAAGTAAATGTCGTTACCATATTTTGTTAAAAAACTTTGCCAACATCTTTCTAACAGAAATAAAGATGCATGTCAATAAATAAGTTATTCAGTGATGAAAAATTTCCAGTTTTATCATTGAAAAGTGGAAATTCTGTAAATTTCACTAAGTGCATAAAATTGCAAAGCCGTGGCGAATTTATTGGAAATGAATTTTTCTTCCAACTTTTGAATTTACATAAAGGAAATTTTCCATAATCTTAATCATGTCACCATTTGATAAAATATTGATGTCAGGTCATAAGACTGGATATGGCTTTACTATATGATACAGGTAACAATATGTTCCTGGAAAAATTTGGTGATTTTCGTAAAATTCTTTTGTTAATTTCACATCGTGGTCATAAGCACGAACAGAAACTTTCAGAAAAAGAAAAAAGAGACTTTTCTTCCAAATAATTTATCCGTTTTAAAAATCAGAGTGAAAACAGTGCTAAAAAAAACAGTGCTAGAAAAAAAAACGGCATTTTCGAGCAGCATATTGAAAGTTATGAGATAGTAAGACATACTTTGCGAATTCTAATTGACATCTGGTATCAAAAGTGTCAGGAAAGAGTAATTCATAAGTCTGACTACCATTTTTTTTCTTCTTTCAACTTTAGCCTTTCCTAAGTCATTTCGCATTCTGAGTTACCCTATTCCTAAGCGGTCATTCGCAACAATTAGAGTACGGAACACTTTCCATTTAGAATTCGTCTTTATTTCATTATGGAATATTATCCCTATTATTGCTATGTATTCATGAAAGAAATTCATAAAAAGTAATGATAAATAACCCTTGTGAATCCAAAATATAATAGCACTGTTGTGAAAGTGCAACGAATGATTGCACCAACAGATCTGGATAAATGAGGTCCACCGTTTGCATATTTTCTATATTTTGTGGAAACGTGATAGATCCAAAGAACCCATAATCTGTGCCAAAGAACTGAAAAATTAACAATGAGCTATGACACTCAAAAACAAAAAAAAAAACTGAATGTTGACAATGAGTTCCTAGCACAAGCAATAACTCTTGTGCCTCCTTCAAACGCAAACTTTAAGCTATCTGAACAATAAGGAATTAAAACTGAAATTAGTCTAAACAAATTTTCATAAATTGCTCGTTGGGACCAGAAAATTCACCAGTTCTCGCGACATGAACAGAAAAGAACGGATAACACCACATCCTGTGTGTATCAATTTTAAAAGCGAAACAAATGACTCGCCAAACAGCCACAGACATATGTTTCCGTCCTAAACCAATACACATAAAAACATCAAAAATAACTGAATTACTCGGAAAGTTAAAATTCTTTTCACAGCAAAATGAAAAAATATTAAAATTTTGCAATCACAAAGTAATTCAACTAATGCTGACATAGGACATAGTTGATAAAAAAAAAACCAAAAACAGTACAAACATGTTTCCAACAAAATCCAAACCTTAGTTTATCCTTCCTTTTCTAAGAAGGTTATATACCCGGAACTTAAATTAAATATAAAAACCGATATTTTTAATTCCAGTAAAAGTGACTTCTTCTTCAGAATCTCGATATGCCCCCTTTCTTCGTATGCAGATTTGCTTTTCAAAACGTAGCCGAAAAAGTAACAAAAGTAGAAACAACGAAACTGTGAATCAAAAATTAACACACTTGACCTCCAGTGAATACCATATTTTGCGGTCCATCAGAAATAGAAAAAGGCCTTGCTGAATGCCCGTAACACTCATCCAGGTGATGAGCATCATCTAGAGACCACATATGCAAGCACCGGTCATCTGATATCGAAAATAGGAAGTTACATTTAATAAGTAAACCGAAAATCATGCCCTGCAAGAGTTAATTTATATCAGCCACTAGTGGAAATTAGTTCTTCACCATCCAAAAAAGAAAGGGAAAGACTTTTTAGAACAGAATGAATCATTTAAAACATAAGAGCTGAGGAAAACAACACATAAAAATAAAACGTCAAAGTGATTTTGAATAAATCCACTTCACTAGGTCTTTCTGACTGGATCACAGTTCGTTAATTATTAGTATTCAGAGGTACGTTTCAATATTTCTATTACTTTTACTTAAGGCGGAAACATTTGCAAAATTTCGAACCGTGTGGTGCTTTAAAACGTGAAAGGGAGATGAAGATTTAGAGGGATACGAAATGATTATATCACCCATAATGGTACCAACTACCGCGCGAAGAGTATTCCAACTATCACCATCCAAAACTGAATGCGTGCTGTAATGCTTAGAATTGAAATTTTTTGGATGCTACTATTCATAATTCAATGTTTCTCGTAAATAAAATGACTATTCATTTCTGTAAGAAACAAATCATTAATAAACAGACGATGAATTTTCTACAATTTTAGAAATCAACTGGGGGTTATGGATAATGATTTTAAAGTAACTTTAAACTTGACCTACTAAAGAAACATCAATATTTGTTGCCCTGGTCACATTTTCACTCCGAAAATTACCTTAAATCTAGCTAATAAAAACTTAGTGAAGTCTGAAATTTACGATTTTTCGAAAAATTTACATAATAGCTCGGTGATCTGACTTCACAGTTATCATTTCTTCAATATCCACATCTGAACTTTCACCAAAAATATCCAGCCGGAAAAGTTGCACTGCATTATTGACCGACAGCGTCACTAACTATTGAAAAACAAAATAGAATGAGTTATTTAGCTGTCGGAAATGGTAGAATATTAAATGCACTTTTTCTGAAAAGATGCCATCAGAAACTATTTGTAAATTTGGAAAAAAGTACTACTAATAATATAAGTCTTTAAAATATATCAACAATATATCATAATACCTTATTTGAAGAACTGTGCTTGAGAAATGCATTTCTAAAAGACTACTAATTGAAGTGAAATTTGAATCACACATAATACAACCTAACCTCTACAGAATTCCCTGGCTCCTCTTGCTTATTGAAAACACGCAAGGCTTGGATCCAGTCATTAAAAATAAATACTCGTTTTTGCGGAGTGCTGGAAAACTGACGTATCACGGCCATCAACTTTTCGCCATAAGCAAATAAAACATCTAAACATAACATCTCACAAAAACAATTGTCGCAGCTGTGGAATTATCAAAAGTAACAAACTTGAATGCTGTCCTGCTCTCTAAGGTAAGATGTACACAATGCCTCTAATCTAATGAATCAAAGGCATAGTGATTCAATGAACAAGTAAATTAGATATGCTATAATCAAATCTGGAAGTTTTATTTCTGGAAATACTGAGACCATGTCGTTAACAAAGTATTCTAAGGCTTCAGTATACAAAGAAAAAATAAAAAAGCTTCAGTACGTAAAGAAAAAACATATAAAAGAATAAAGCATATTATTAACTTACTGAAGACAAATAAAAAGTTTTCCGAAGCAAGTAAAACAATCCAAATGTCATGAAATTACTGAAAAAAAATTAATGATTACCAGTAATCCTCAGTGTCAGTTAAGAAAAGAGCAAAACGATTCACCCATACCCCGTTTGTCAAGATAAGTCAGTCCATATATATTGCACTTTCTTTCATCAAAAACACAGATTTGCCGTTGTGAAAGTAACATTTCATTGAGACTCTTCTGATAAGAATCAACCATGCAACCATTACCTAAAGTAATATGAAGAAATTATACTCTTTTATGAAAAACCGACTTAAAAAGTGAGATAAAAGAAGATCACTTACATGTATGAATAAAGATAATCTAGCAGTGAATTTAGCGATTGATCTTCGCTCTTCAGAAAGATTTTTCAAAACCAACAAATTTAAGAAGTAAAGGAAAATAAAACTTGCTGGCTATGAGAACCGGGCAGTCAGCATCTTCATCACCTTTCTGTATAGTCAACACCGGAGCACATAACGATTTCATCAAATTCCTCTGAAAGGACAAACATGTAGGAAGAGTAATTAATTTCCAAAGAAACTGGTATGTGTAACAACAAAAGTAGTGCCTGTCAAAATCTAACTTCTCATAAGACGGAAATTACAAAAAATAATGCTTTGTAGCCTTGTAGCAGTTTATCGTTGAAACGCAGAATTTTACGAAACATAGGTATGCTTAGGATTAAACATATATGTATCTCTAAATAGCTGAACTAGAGGCAGGTTGCAAAATCCAATGAGAAACTTCGGTGAAAGCCGGTGGAATTACAAAATATATTTGTTGTGTATGATCAAATGGAACGAAGTGAAATGACAAAATGTGGCTTCTTAACTTCCTTCTATAAATAAGTAAATGATTGGGCAACAATGGAAACAGTACCATAGAACTAGTTGTTTTGTTTGACCTCTACTACACTTCCATATTTATCTTTACGTTACATGAAACCTCCTACGTCTTGCTTCGGCGGAAAATTCACTAAACATAGCCCAGCTTTCAAAGTGTCTTTTAAAATGTGACTTATAACCACGAGAACCATCTTTTTCATTGTCTCGCTTTATGGGCCACATTAAATGGGATACGCTTGGCTGAACGTACGCGGGGTCTTGCTTGACGGGTGATGAAGGGGTGGGCGTTTAGCTTGACATTGGAGTGTTCTCCCAAGAGGGGTGCCATCAACAATATTTCGATCTTATTATTGGCTTACCGCATTCCAGCATATCTTTAACTTTATATTCTGGTGGATTTGTCTAAACTTATACATTGTATGTGCGTATGCATTTGTGCGAAAGTGTATGAGAGTTTTCGCGATAAAGATTACAAACTTGATTTCAAAATTTGGTGGGAGGAACTTTTTGCTAAAGAGAGAGATTATGAACTGAATATTTCTAAAACCAGGATCAGTTCTACGAACAGGAAATCTGATTTTTTTCAAGAGACAGTATATTGCGATGACGTGAGGAATGGTCCCAACACAGTTGTACTGAACGGAAAGTGATCTTGCAGTCCACTGGACCTGTTTGAGATTTGGCTAAGATGACTGTAAAAATTAGTACCACTTAGTTAGACTTTTTACGTAAATCCGGAAGTGACACCTCCAAACTAACAGTTCATTGTGCGAATTCCAATTTCTGTTTTTAATGTCTGGAATTGCGTAATTTTTCTGCAGGATCGCAACAAACAGTGGAAATGTCGCTGAAAGCAATCGTTGGTCAGAGTAAGTCCTCCAATCCTCTGCGGTCTATGTTGTATTTTCGTATTGTTTGTGATTTCCAGTAGAGCATGTCCAGTGCTTTGAGTTCACTCGTTAATGATTTCACTCGCGGAGCAATACATAATGTAACGCACTTTTTCCTCAGGATGACTTTTTTTATGACTATAATTGAATTTTGGGGCATGTATAAACTGAAACTCTGAGTCTGTGATTTAAACGCCGTGTCTTAATTTTATTTAAGTTTAGACGTCTTAAATTAGGGATAGCATCGAAGAAAGATTTGAAACTGTCCTGTTTTGTATACTATTCTAATGAATGGTATACAAAACTTGGTGATGTGGTGATGCCATTTAACTCAATGAAATATTTAACATTTATCAGCACAGATTAATAGGCAAACAACAGTGTGATCATTCTCTTTGGTCATCTCGATTGTTCCTTTTTTCATTTACTGTCTGTGTGTAATAGACTAGTGAGTCACGTATCCATGCAACAATGTATAGAGCGTTTCGTAAAATGCTGACCACAAAGCCCATCAAATCGAAAAGCATCCTTTTGGTGGTTAAATTCATTTCTGCTATTGCTGTTACACAAATTTCACGCCTCTTATCAATTTCATTTATTCGCCTTTCCAGTTTTACTATCTAAAATTGTTTGTATCATTTTTTGTGGGTTGCACTTTACCGTGCTTTTGGTTGATAATTGACTGTCCCATCACTGATTATTGCCTGATAAGCAGGAAGTTAAATGCTACTAAAAATTTGTAATTTGGACAGCTCCCTTCATTAACTAAGATTGTGCAGTAAAAGTGGTCTTTTAGGCATTTTTTCTTGTTCTGTTCTAAATCACTGTGAGTTCTCCTGAGCAGTTGCCAATTCTTTCTTTTTTGCAACCTTGATTTTCCCAAGTACATATCGGGAAACTTGCAAAACCATAATTGGATTTGAATCATAAATGTTAAAAATTATCTACTATTTTGAGCTTCATGGCAAGTTTGTTTAGCCTATAAAGAAATGATTCCAGAGAATTTTGCTCTCAAATCTCTTAACACTCAGTTGATTTTCTCGTTAATAACAGCAGAATTTCCCCAGAAAGCGAAACGGAAAACTAAAAAACGAGAATAAGACAAAGAGAAACGAACTTTTGTTTTCAGTGTTTTTGTGTCTTTGCTACTTTTCTTCCGAATCAGCTTTAATTCTTCTTCAAATTTGTGGATAACTGGATTGGCCATTCGTTTCATCATATTATCGGCATCTGCTTCTAATTCACACAAACGGGCTCTTCCAATGGTAAATGCATCTTCCGCTTCCGATTCTGTTTTCTTCCTGAAATTTTCCGATTAAGATTAATACTTCAAAAGGTTATCTCGGGATGACAAGGATTTTATCAGTTTTGTCAGCCTTTGAATATTTTGAATAATTCATTTTCTCACCTTTTTAGCATGCGTTCTTCAACCGTTTTTATATTTCTGACCTGTTCATAGACACCGTATTGGTCTTTTTGAACTGGTTTTACTTCTGGATGCTGTTCATCTCTGGAATTATAATCTCCTTTCCTATGCAAGATTGACTTGTAATCCCTGTATTACAAGAATATTGCTTCATGTTAGAGTTTCCATGTTCAGCTTCCTTCGTAGTGTTACTGATTTTGTAACAGAAACGCACAAATATATGTTTTCATCTGTTTTGAACGATGATGTGTTCTCGCTGGAATCGTCTCCTCTTTCTGCATCCTCCTTAAGCTCTTCACCAACACCTAGCATTTTCCGCAGCTCTTCGTATTCTTTCTGAATTTTTCTTTTTTTTTAAAATTTAGTTCGAATGGTATTAAGAACTGCCTTTTATATTTTAAAATAGGTCTGCGAAGGTAGACAATATGTAGGTACGTTAGCATTCACTAATGGTAGCACTGTTCAGGATATAAGGTGAAAATAGGAGGGGAAAGGGAGATGATTACATGTAAAATTTGTTAATTTACTTCCAATTTTTTTCGTTTCCTTTTTTTACTTCCGTTGTTCCCCTCGTTTTCCTGTATTTGTTTTCTTAGTTCATCGAGTCTAAAATTTCAAAGAGAATAAAAGATTTCAGCCCTTGATATCATGACAATTTAGAAAAAATCCGAAATCCAACTTCCGTTTTCAACCGTTTTTTGGTATAGCTGCTATGAATATTCCATCTGCTGAAATGAAAATGCGATACCTCTTTTCATCTTTATTCTTATTTTCTTGCAATTTCTGTATCTCTTGCATTAGTCTTTCATGATCTTCCTGAAAAATTAAAAATATCTTTGTGGGAGCGTATTTTATAATAAAATAGTATCTTGCATTCCACTTCAAATTAATCGTTTATATTCTTCAAAATCGAATGACTCCTAGTATTATCGGGAATTTCTTGTCAGCACTCTGGAATATTCCTGGCTTACATTATTTTTACGACTAAACTGCCTCATTTCTCAAATTAAAGTTAAGCTTGGACGAGAAGAATTTATAGTCAAAATTCCTTAAAGACATGACTGTTAGCGAACCTTCAAGCGTGCGCATTTTCGTCGCTGCTGTGGATTTCCTTGTGCGAGTCTTTGAATTTCACCTGATATTCGTTGAAGCTCCTTTTGTTTGTGCTCAAGTAGTTTCATGAGTAAATGCTAGCGCCTACCGCTTTTAACAGTTTGGAAAATGTAAAAATGAATGAAAGAACTACAAGCAGACATTTTTAATGTCATCAGTTCCACCACTGTCGGGTTAAATAGGAAGTGCGCATATTTCTCAACTTTATGTGTTAATCACTTTCGCTGCTTTTTGAAAATTATCTGCATGTGATTCGGGAAAGCTCTAGGGGCTAAGTAGATGACGATTTTTTAACTATTTCTAGTCTACAAATTTCGAGCTTTAATTGAACCTAACTTCAGAATTTCCACATTCAACGAGTGGATTTATTAGTTATCAGGACTTTCATACTGTTAATTA